GCAATACGAAATACCTCTAGTTTTGTTTTCTTCCAGCTGCTCTCCATTTTCCGGCCTGCTCTCTTTAGGGCGCGAATGTGCTCGTTATACCAGTCAGACTATCTTCTTTAAGCGTAAAGGAGCAACATTGTCTAAAGTGCTGTAAAGAAGGAAGTCCATAGTTTCTGTTACAACATCAAGTTGTTCTGAGCTATTGGATATGCTAAGAAATTAAGACAGGTTAGGAAGATTAATTACAAAGCAGTCTTTTGTGGTAGAAGTGATGGTTCTACCATACTTGTAACAAGGAGTAGAATTTACAGTTTTAGCTATATGAAGTTTGCACAAGACTAGATAATGATCTGCGATATCATCGCTTTGCTGCAGTATTTCAACACAATTAACATCAATTCCTTGTGACAGTATTAAATCTAGAGTATGATTTCATGTGACAGTATTAAATCTAGAGTATGATTTCGACAATGAGTAGGTCCTGACACGTGTTGTCTAACCCCAATAGAGTTCAGAATATCGATGAATGCTGATCCCAATACATCTTTTTCATTATCAACATGGATATTAAAATCACCAACAGTTAAATCTTTATCTGCAGCCAGCACGAACTCAGATAGAAAATCAGCAAATTCTTTAATAAAGTCTGAATGGTGCCCTGGTGGCCTGTATACAGTAGCCAGTACAAACATCATAGGGGATTTATCATTAACACTTGTTTCTCTGGATAATGTTATATGAAGCACCATTACTTCAAACAAGTTATACTTGAAGCCCGCCCTCTGAGAAATACTGAAAATATTGTAACAACACCTCCTCCTTTACCTTTTGGACACGGCTCATGTTTATAACAGTAATCTTGGGGGTGTAGACTCTTGCAGGAAGTCTCTGCATGTCAATGTATATCATGCTCCCTTTAAATGCCACAAGGTCATCTTGTTATTTTCATGACAATAAAACATGTTTAACAAAAAAGAAAAAAAAAGTTGATTACTTCAATAAAATGAAAATGAATGAATGAATAAATAAATAAATAAATAACGTTTGCTGCTATCGAGGTGGAAAACGGTTAAGGTTAGGAACAGGTTTGGTGATATGGTTAGGTGTAAGGGTGGGTCAGACTCAGCAGTGTAATTATAGATGTAACTACAGAAATAATTACAAATGTGATTACAGGATGGGGTTTTCAAATATAAGTACAATGTAAGAATATGTATGTACACATGTACATTGTATTAAATGATTAATTTAAATTTAAGTACATAGTTAAGGACACTCAATGTAAAGTGGGTCCATGTGTTATCGCTTAAAAGCCATAAACTCTCTAGACCAATCACAGCAGCCAGGTCCTAAAACTTCTATGATTCCAGGAATTCTTCTTATCAGGAAATTAATAAATATTATATTCTATAGTTCCTTTACCAAGGTTATTGGTGTTTCCCAGTCATGGCGTCTGAGTTTCTGGTGCACCCCTGCTGCTCTCTCTGTCTCTCTCTCTCTCTCTCTCCCCCTCTCTCTGTAATCCTCTTACATTAAGCCACAAGAGGTGGAGCAAGTCTCTTTCTGCGTGTTTAGTTGCTCTGGGGTTTATTTTGAGTGGAGCAATGCAAGCAGTCACTGTGGAAATGCAGCAGAACCGAGTCATGATGATTTTGTCTATAAAGGTGGATGTATTGATGTGCAGAGAGTGACAGATGTCATGTCTTATCTCAGGTGCTCAGAAGCGGCGCTTTTACTCTTCTCATTTGTGCAACTCACTGCAGGTACAGTTTCTGCTTTGCCAGTTCACTCTGTTCTCTATTAAACATGTTTTTAGATCAAAAGTGGAAGAATATTTGTGACTGCAACAGCAAGTAAAGCTGCAACTGTAAATAAAGCTGAGTTCATAGTCATTATAATATGTTGTGTAATCTTCTTACTGAATTTAGATGACGTTACACTGCTGTGAACCTAATGACCGCCTCATTCTGCTATGATTATTCTTAACTTACTTTTTTTAGATGGACTCAGAGCATTATGTAATGAACTGGTTAAAGTCAAAAGATAAGACCAGTGCTTGGTGAAACAGGTGTTCACAGGTGCGTCCAGATCCCTTAAAAGCACAGACTTGTGTGTTTACTTAGGAAAGCACATCTCTAAAGGCTAATTTACACTGCACCGACAGACACTTACCAAGGGCACTTGTTTTTACTGACTGAACATGTTCAATCTGCGTGTATAATGAAGTGATGTTCTGTAATCTGGTGATTGTCTGTATTGGTTAGCATCTGTCGGTACAGTGTGTACATTTACTTTTCACAGACATCAGTAAATGGCCAAATACAGTATGATATTTTTTATTTCAGTGCAGCTGTAATGAGAAGCAGCAGAAATACATGAAAAGAGTTGTTTGACCTTTGTGAGGCAAAGTGTTAGTGAATGTTCAATCTAAGTATTCAGGTGTTTCAATAAAGATTGCCATAAAAATGAAGATTAAGATAGCAGTAATAATAATTACAATAATGTAGTGTAAACTGCCATCATATATCCTGTTTGTTTACCTTTTACAGTTTGTCAAGCCCAAAAATCAGTAAAGCACATTTGTTCATCCCAGATAATACCTTCACATAAAATGCAATATAGAAGATATTTGAATGTTTGATTTTGCACATTTCAACTAACCACAGTGATGTCTTCTAGATTCAGAGTGCTTGTAATTTGTTCCCTGTTTAATGTTTCAGTTGAGGAATTCGTCATAGTGTATTATAAATGGAGACGTGCTTTATAGTTATAATTCTGTAGTTGATTTAACTCCTTTTTTAGATATTAGAGCTATAGAGGAATACAAATCTATGAAAGGTAACTTCAGAATGCAGTTATATGCTGCTGTTCTCACATACTGAACAGTACCTAGAGTTATGTACACATGTTTGAAAGATCCTCCCCTTTTAGTTTCGTGAGCATATTTCAGATAGTATCATCAGATTTATGAGCTTGTTTTCAAGAGTAGGCTACATTTGAGATTTTTAGAGAAAGAGCAGCTTCAGTTAGATGGGATGGTTGCGTTTGTGTTGTATTTGCCATCTCTTTGATGAATGAATTGGTTAACTGGTATATTAGAGCAACAATTTTGTAACAGAAGTTCTGTCTAAAATGAATAAGTTTACATTCTGAAAAACTATATGGAAGTGATCATTTTGTCATAATGCAGCTTAAAGTTCCTCTACACCTCAACAATTATATTAGAAATACAGTAAATACATCTATATTAGGAAAAAAACCCAGTTTTTTTTCTTTTACAGTTTTTAAGAATTATATCAGTCCTCCTAGATTACATTTGTAAACCTTCGATTGAAAAGAAAGGCCTCAGAAAGAGGCAGCGCACACATATACAGACATGCAGGTGTGTTACAGACAGCCTTAGATTATACTAAGCTGCATTATAGAGATTTTCACTGCAGTCTGAGAGTAAGAACCTGCTTACATAACCTAAAAACCTCCTGTCACACAGCACAAATAGCAACTGGCCATGGGTTCTAAAAATATAGGTTAACAAGATTACTTATGTATTCCACTGGTTTAAGGTTGTTTGTTGTTAGGCAATATCAAGACAAAGGACAACAATGATAGAAAGAGTCACTTTGTACTCACTGATCATGGTGTTGGACACAATGTCAAATGACTCAAAATTGTATCACCTCATTATTTATACGTTGAACTGTGGAGAATTTGCTTTTACTTAAAATTAAAATCTAATAATTAAGATATACTGTGTTAAAACACAGGCCCCAAAGTCATTCAATGCAACAAAACTGTTGCACACATTTCTGGAGAGAATTGTTTTTTTCTCTTTGCTGCAGGGGTTGTGTCGGTATACCATTTCTTATTATGATACCCCCAAGGTGTTCTACTGGATTAAAGTCAATTTGGCCAAATCATAGTATTCACTTTATTTCTTTAGAAACTCTTGTGTGCTTTTGGCAGTGTGGTTTGCATTGTTATCATGCTGGAATAATCTTCTTCTACCAAGCTTCTGCAGACTGGGAGTCATCTTGTCAGTCAGTATTTTGATATATCCACAGGCCATCTATAAAAATCTTAATCTGAATCAGTTATTCATAAAATGTGGTTTCTCATCTAAGACACAATTACAGACAAACACTATCTGACTAACTAATGACACACAAATTTTATTGAAGACAATGAGTGATCATTGACAGGGCAGGCTAGAACAAGTAAGTAAACCTTGGAAACTGGAATCATTTAGGGAGATGTGATTGATTGGAAGTGTGGGTTGCACAGGTACCTTGGACTTTGAAAAAAGTCACACAAGTCCTGTTTACCAACTTTTCTTTCTTTTTCTTTTTTAAATTGGTTATTGTGAACCATGCCTTGATCCAACAGCTTTCACTGTTGATACTTTTCATAGGAGTGGGCATCCTGTAAAGATTGCTCTAAAGGTCCTGATATACTTACAGAATCGAAGAATGAACTGGTGTGATGTCATCTCGAACAAAACCAGACCAAAATGAAGTTTGTTTGGAGTTTGTTTCAGGAATTGTTTCAGAAAACTGCTTACCAATACGAAATTTCTGGAAAAGTTCCCTTTTGCTGGTAAACACCTTCGAACTACCATTGGTCTGTGGCATTTACATAGTAGAAGGATATGCACTGTAATAAATGCAGAAATGTTCAAATTATTGGGAAGACAAATGGGAGTGCTGATGGATATTGAGTAGACAAAATTCAGAGACAAAGAATACTTAATAGCCACGTTTCCACTGTCGGGTCAAAAGCGGGTGTGCTAGTGCGTGCCAGGGCCAGTTGCGTTTCCACTGTCACTTCCGGGGCTTGATCGTGCCTCGTTGGGACTTCCTCGAGGCCAACGTCCAGGGTTTTTTGGCTCACCGAAAACCTTGGGTCAACTGGGGCTAGAGGAGTCTGCCACCATACAAGGCAGAAATATTTGATGCAAATGACACTGGGCCTCATTTACGAAATGAACGTACGACAGAAAATTGGGCGTATGGTCGTTTCAATGCAAAACTTGGAATTTATCAATAAAGAATGAGAATCTGACGTAATGCCGCGTTGAGTTCTGGGAAACTGCTTTGTTTATCCGCCATATTTGCAGGATAGCGCTGCCTTTCCGCTATTGAGTTTAGGGCAGTATTTGATTGTTTGTCGTGATTGTGAAAAATGTCACCAGTGTATGTCTTTCATACTGCATCGATAATTGCAATAGTAACTCAGATCATCGTTCTGAGAGAATTGCCCGCACCAATATGGCGGCGACGTTGACGTGCGGTCGAGCGGCCAATGAGGCGTCTAGGTATTTATTATGTCTATGGTGGCTACGATCAAATCTCACGTCTGGTCTCAGCTCGTGTACGCAAGTTTTTGAGTTAGCCTGAACTTCCGCGCAGCATAGTAAATCTACAATCTAGAATTGCATTTTGTTCATTTAGGTTATTTTCCTGACTGACAACCGAAGCTCATTAGTTGATCACTGACCAGTAAGAATAGAATGTCTTTTTGTTTTCATACAGGGCTTTAGCTTTATATGCGCGAATAGCAGTGTAAACAACAGACCAATCGTCGCATCACGCACCTGCAGCGCTTCTGTGAAAGGAGAAAAACAGAAATTAAGTCTATAAAGGAATAAAATAAATAGGATCACACACAATATATAATAGGCTATAAAATAATTAACAGATAAAAAAAAGTAAAAAAAACAAACAAAAAAAACCCTGTGCAACAAGTAGGCTATACGCTCGTTTTTGTGACACTCGTAATGCATTTTATTTATTTTCTTTATATCTTTATTTGATCTAATACTTCTGATCGCACAGGCGCCTCACACACACACAAACAAATGAGTTCTACCGTTGCCTGACATTTCAGCCATTCATCATCAAACTAAAATGCAGTCAGCCAAATATAAAAGTTACACTGTTTATTTTAAAAGGCCCGCTGTGAAATCAGCATGCAGTTCCCAAACAAACATTTTTACGCATGTGAAGGATTTTACGTGAATATTGGAACATGAGTGAAGTATAAAGCCATGTTTAGGCTACATAATAAATAAAAGTTTAACAAGCAATACAAATATGTCAAAAACGGAAACATCTGGATTCTTGTCGAATGAGGCTCGTGAGCGCAATGCCGTTTCAGCGTTAGCTTGACGTTTGTGTGCTGTTTAGGCTAGCTAATAAATGCCACCAGCTTAGAGCGTGATTTAAAAAATATATATATTATAGTTTAATATATAATTTTATAGCTGCTTATTTTGTCATTCTTGTTCTTTAATATCGTTAAATGTAAAGAATTTGTTGTGGACTGAAAGGAACTAAATAGTCTAAATAATAATTATGTTTGTTAAGGTTTCCTTATATTTACCGGCGGTATTTAATATACATTAAAAAACAAAATAATAATAATTTAATTGTTTGCAGTTAACGGGTGTTAACGGGTCTTTCTGAAGTAAGAGATTTCTCTTTCATGAGATTAGGCTTGTTTGATGGGAACTTTGCATCATCATTTTAAAAACACCACCACCGCACGCCACTGAGTACATTGTAGTTTTACCGAGCAAAGAGCAGAAACGGCGAGAAAGACCGTGGCAGCTGCCACGAACTCTGGCAGCTGCCTTTGACTCATGGCAAGAACTATGGCAACTGATACATAAAAATGTATAATAATAATAATACAATTGTGGGAACTTTGCATCATCATTTTAAAAACACCACCACCGCACGCCACTGAGTACAGTGTAGTATTACCG